TGGGCTCGGCGCGGACCCGCCCGGGCGTGCTCCTCCCGCCGGCTGCCGGCGTCCCACCGCCCTGCCCGGCGCCGGACCCCCAGCGCGGAAGCTCGCCCACGGAGGTCGCGACGGAAGTCTGGACCGCCGAGGCGTGTGGCTCGCCTACCGGCAGGTGAGTATACAACACAGGCGTGGGATGCTGCGGGGACAGTGCGGGGGACATGCGGGGTCCTCGGAGGCGGACGCAGATGCGTGCGATGCCCAGATGAAGTTTGCGGAGCGGGTCCGAGGTCTCTCGCCTCCTCGGCCGCCTCTTGCTGCGATCCGGGGTCCGGGGCTTGGGCTTCTGGAAATTCTTGTCTTGAGATACTTGACAAAGGTTGAAAAGACACATCAGGTGGGAGCGTGTAACTGCTGAGGGGGGTTAAACGAGGGCCGTCCAGTGTGCCTGCGTGTGTGTGTGGCTCCCGGGTGAGGAGCAGCCCGAGATGGGGCGAGGTCTCTGCGGCGGGTCATTCCGACCCCAGAGCCACTTAGATGCCGGAGAGGGGAAATGAGCAATTCTGAGGCGGTCAGTAGATGTTACGGCAGCAAACCAGTGACCCCCGATATTTCTGGTATGCCCCTCTAGTAGCAGGAGTGCAGGTGGTTTAGTACAGAGTGTGAGGTTTTAAGGCACCCAGAAAATATTCCCTTTCCCTTTTAACTTCTTGGCAGAAATTAGTATTAAAAGTGCTGAATCATGCAAAAGGACGTGGAGAATAATTTACCTCATGTTTGGTAAAGTTTTTCAAAGCTAATAATATCTGTATTTTTGGATGAATGCTTTAAGTTTAAGGTGTAGGCACCAGGTATTTAAAATATTTTGAGACTGTGCCCTTGGCTTTATGGCTGTCATTTGCTTTTCTTTCTTTATGGTGAGTTGTATCCATTCATTATTTCTTACCACCCTCTTTTCCCCCTCAAAACAAATAAAAACCCCGAAACACTCCCCTGAAAACACACACACACACACACACTTTTTTTTTTTTTTTGGTGTGTCCATGATTGTAAAAGGAGTGGAGGAAGCAGTCCTGAGAAATAGAAAACATCCTTCTTTGATGAATGCAATGATGGCCAATTTAATTTGTCATATGCCACTGAAGGGAATGTCAAGCTGATAACATGCAGACTGGAGAGAAAATGAAACAGGAGTTGCCCATTGAGGAAGAAATAAGCCCTAATCCAATTGCACTCAGTAAAAGAACTGGAGGGTAGTGATTCCACATTGGAGCCTAAGTCCTCTGGAGGTGGAGGGGTGCAGTTTTTGATGCAGATTCTGAGGTCAGATACCAGGTAGCATAAAGATGATTTTTAAAAAATCAGAGTCAGGATTAGTAAAATGGGTGTGTCTCAAGACAGCTCTTGCCCATTTACTCTGGACTGCACTGTCTGAACTGCTCAGCGGCCTGCTGACTCATAAGGGAACCAGCATGGCTTAGTAGGGTTGGATTTTGCTTATAGACTCTAAAAAACTGTACTTGTAAAAAACAAAATAAAATAAAAAATAAAGATTATTTTAAAAAGCATCAACAGAGACATCCGTAAACAGAGAAGCTACTCTTCTCTTCACATCTGTTCTTCAGGGAGGTTTTTCCTGATTCCTTAACTTGTCACCTTCATTTCAATACCTGTCATCCATGCCTGTGCACAGCACATTTGGTTTGACACAAAGGTTTTAATCTAAATCTTAACATTAGAAACAGTAGCACTCTTAACAACATGGTTATTTCAAAGGTATTTGTGAAGGATACTGAAAAACTGGAAAGAACGATTAATTTAGTTTTGGGTTTTTTGGGGTTTTTTTTTACAGCACAGACTCCACTTAACATTGCAAGACCAGGGAGCCCCACCCTGTTTCTGAGCATCTGCATGAAAGACCAGGAAAGGAATTCAACAATTGCAGTGGTTCAGGGAGAGGCAGCTTCTAGGCTTGGGTGTTACCTTTATTTAAATAATTACATTTTGGAAAGTAGGCTTTAATCCATAGATATTGTCGAAAAGCACAGTGTTATTCAATCTCACCTGTCAGCCTGTTAAAATGTCGACTTAACTTTGAGAGATTGATTTTGGTTTAAAAAAGAGATACAGAGCAAGAGCTGCCTCCAAATTTGAAGATCCTGGGGCTAAAAGACATGATGGAGAGGATAAATATCAGCATATAGTGAAGCCAGAAAGAGTTATTTTTGCTCTGGTATTCTTAATAAAATTTCTTTATAAAAGTAAGTTTTTTTTAGAAAGAGGGGGCTCATTTTCAGGCAGTGCATGGAATAACCAGCTTTTGGGATAGATAAGCACCTGGCATCTCAGTTAGAACAGAGATGCATAATTGGAGCAAGAAACAGATAAATGAGCTTACCTTTTACTGCTTGGTCCTTCAAACAGAACCCAGTCATGTCACGTCAGATTAAAGGAAGGCCATTTCTGCAACAAGGCGAGAAATCTTATTTGAAATCTACGGGAAAGAAAATGTTTTGAGCTGCTCTGAAGAAAGAGGCATTATAAATTTAAAATTCATTATTATCGTAGCTATGCTTACCCGCATTGTCTACTGCAGACAGCAGGTCTGACCAAGAGGAAGAGAGCCGTAAAACCTTTTTTCTTTCCTTTTTTAAAAACAAAATTTTCAGAAGGATGCCCACTTGATGTTACCATCCATTTTTTTAAGGAAAAGGAATAATTTAAAGAAGAGAACATGATACTTTTTCTGTGATGGCTAGAGTGAATTAGTGCATTTCCAAATCTGAGTGTATTGAGCACTTAGCATCTCTACAGTTATTTCAGTCTGAAGTGATACTCCACGTGGAAATCGCAAGTTCTGTTCTAAACTAATATTGTAAGTTCAAAGCTGCTGAAACTACCTTCTGCTTTTTTTTTCTCCTTATACTATCTTTCCCCTCTTTTAAATCCACAAACACACCAACAGATCCTAGTACCTACAAGGCTTTGAGAGTCAACAGGAACACACAATCGGGTAAATTGCCTGTGATTGCAGGTCATTCTAAAATCAAAATAGATTTCAGCAGTAGCTTCAAGAATTAAATTGGTAGGATGTCTCTGGCGCTTTGCTCAGATCCAGCAGCCTGGTTTCAAAGAGGGTCTTTTCCTAAGATATGCAGTGATTATTTTGTGGAAGTTAGCTCTGCCCAGTTGCGCAGTTAATTGCAGTGCAAGAAGATTCCAGAACAGTACCTTCTTGAGTTCTGACAGTAAATATGCACACAGCATTGTATGAAGAGCATTCCAGAACACCCACCTCCCAGTGAAGTGAACATGCTGGCTCCATAAACACCTGGGCTGCTTTAGCCTGCCAACAAATCTCATTTTTTACCCCAAGAGATGGTGCTAATGTATACTGAGCATTTTTAGGGCATCGGAGAGCCTTGCAGTATAGAGAGAGGCATCTGATGTCTGACATCTTTTAGAGTTGGCCTCCAAGAATCTACCTTTTTCCATTTAAGGATGTGAGGTTATATGTATTTTGCAAGGAATTTGAAGAAAACGAAGTTTGCTGATCCACTTATTACAAGGAATTTTAGGGTTGGTAATATCATTGGCTTTAAGTATTTAAAAATTGATATATATTTTTGGGTATGTGAGTGTTGGATTGAGGCAATATAGAATCACCTTTAAAAAAACATTTTGGGAATTGCTACTCCTTTAAAATTATGTGACATTAAGTACTTGCACATACATATCTGCAAAATTCAAGAATGTGCTTTAGCATGCACATTTTGTCACATACACATACATCCTACACAAACTAGAATTGCTATTTAGGATTATTTAGTTCTTCATTTTGAGGAGATTTCGGGTAGTAGGGAGGGTCTTTATTTTCTTCTTTTCTGGTGGATGTTGGGCTCTGATTCTGTTCTGTTTATGAGTCTTAGAACTTAGGACCATCAAGAACAGGAAGTGAATGAATACAATTATAAAGTCTGTTTCTTACAATGTATCATTTTTTAAATTGCTAATTTAAAAATTATCCAGCTCTAGGTTTTAGAACTAAAAATATGAGAAATAGCTTTCATTCAGATGTAGCTCAGGATGCATCTCCTTTGGTCAAATTACTGTAAATCTTCGGTACTCATGGAATTTGGAAACTATCCAGACTGCTATTGATATAAATATTTTGGTCTTACAGATGTTCCTTTGATGCATGATAGTGACTCTGCTCTTCTGCCTGAGAGTGTTTCAAAATGTAAGTTCAGCAAGCCAAATAATTAAATATCAATAATTCTGGAGATAATGAAGAACAGTTCTTCCCATTTTTCATTCCTTCTACCCAAGACTCTAGCTTCATAAATAAGAGTCTAGAAGGAGGTGATATCACCTTGGCAGGGCTGGGGGGGTATGCCTAACCTAGATGAACATTTATTTACTGCAGAGCAGTATAACTTTGTATGACCACCGTCACAGCCATTGATTGGCGTTCTTCTCTACCTCTTCCCACCATAGTCTTTTTCATTGTAATGGAATACGAACCTTTGGTGTCTGGGTAAGGCTGAATTGACACATCCCCAGATGTCACATCTTTCTGGGTGGCCCTGTCTGTTCTAATCTCCTGGCTCAAGCAGATGGCTTCCAATATGTAGACACATCCAGGCTCAGGAGCAGAGTTGTTTTGTGCCAGATGAAATCCTATGGCTACTCTTGAGCTACCTTTCCTACCACATACATTAACCAAAATGCTGTCTCCAGCTGAGGAAGGTTAAACTGTTAGGATCTGATAGATATAGGTTATAAAAGGGAAAGTTATGAAATATGCAGGGGGCCATTACCATTTCCCACAAAGGCCTTGGATGGTACAGGATTTTACAGATGGGCTGGGTCCGCCTTTTCCATGTTATGGATATCAAGTACTTCCAAATGTAGCTCTTTAAGGAAGGAACTGTCTGTTCTCTGAAAGGGACCCAGTGCTGGTTTAGATCCCTCCCTGTTTCTTTAGATAGCTTAACATGTAATTTAATATGTTTTTGAAAGATTCCTAGGCATTTAATGCACATACACATACATCAGCAGTCAGGCTCTAGAAAGCTGATTTTCATTAGGAAAAACATTTCCCCACCTTCTGTTGTCCCTTGCTTTTCTGCCTTCCTGTTTCTGCCGCCTTGCCCAAAACAGGATTTCCATGTAATTCAGTTCACTAAATATCACTTCCATTTTTGTTTCTTTGCAGAGTTTATTGCTAGAGCTGCTAATAGACTTTCAACACAAATAGTATATTGATCACGTGAAATCTCGTTTGAGCTTGACTGAATATATATAATGGGGTGTCAATCGGGGAAAAATCTCATAATAAATGGCAGGTGACTTATATTCATGAGAAAAAATGTCTTGGGCAGCACACAAAATATGTTTACTGTAGCATGACAGACTGATTTTGTTGGTCTCTATCACATTCATCGGGTGGATTTTTAATAGCAAAGGCAAGGTTAGACACCACGATCCTGGAACCTTTCTTTCTTTGTTTATATGGGAAGCATTTTTGTACACTCAATGGAGTATAAATATATTTTAGAACCACAAGCAGCAAGAAAGATCTTTTCTACCTGAGGAATTCAGAAATTGCAAACAAATCTGTTTAAGTTGGTATATATTTAAAATAAGCTACTGATTTATGCAGTCCATATTTTTTAAGTTTTTACCATGTGTGTATCAGTGCATACACTTGCTGTATGCAAATATCACTTTCAATGTGTATATGGGCGAGCACGGTATATTTAGAGGAAAGCCTGCTTTACATAAATTATTTTTAAGAACCATCGAGCAGAGGAGTAGCCATGCATTAGGAAAGCCGAATCAATTTTTTCCCCTTTAAAACCTAAAAGTTTCCTGTTGAATGATAACTAAAGGAATCTCATTTTTAAAGTTTTATATTTAATTCCTAAAAATAAATTTTCCTGATAGAGCAGCAATTATGATTGTAGATATTTCTGGGAAAGTGATATTTTTGGTTACTTCCTATATCTGACTTTGATAACTGACTTCATTGTTGCTGGTTGTCTGGTGGAATCTGGTCACTGAGGGAACATGGGGTATCTATCATATTAGCTGTAACCCTGCTTCATAACCTAGGACAGTGTGGGGTACATTATGCTTTTCCCAGTCTTCTGGGTGTGGTGTAACCCAGTTTCCATGAGGAATTCTTTGCCTCATATAAGTGAATGAAGCCAATGGGCTCTTTGCTAATCAGATTGTAATTTTTTTTTTTTATGGTCAAAAAAAAATTATACCGTGGATAAATGTCTCTTCCAGTTCCTGTGCAGTATTCAAGATTTTTTTAAAAGTGCATTATGCCAGAATTTTCACTTTTTTAGCCTCGGGTCATATCAAATAGCCAGAATAATCTATTTATTATAAGGAGCATGTTAAACAGGACAAGTGAGGCTAAGATGTGAAAGACATGACATCAAGCCCTAATCATGCCTACTGTTTTTCCATAGCAAGAACTTTTGTTTGTCTTCATCAACTTCACTGAAATGCTTCTGATTTTTTTTTTTAAGGTTTTTGATTAGCAGGAAGAAGGAATGTAAAGTTTGCTGAGAAAATGGGATTGTATGAGAACTAGCCAGTTGCAGAAGTTAAACAATATATAAGTATAGGAAAGCTATATATTTTAGTACTATCTTTTATAAGTAAAATTTTATATCTGTATATTCCCTTCTATAAACATATATTTTCATACCAATTGAAATCTGTTTGTAATATGTGGCTTTTTGCGCAAAGAGAAGCAATCAAATTTGATAGCTCAAGCTTGGTAAATTATGTCGTTGAGATTTTAGCAAGAGCTATGTTATACAAGAACTTTAATCTCAAGAATTAGCTATTTGAATAAGCTTCATTAATTTTAACCTACAGAGAAATGTATGTCTGCAAATGTTAAAACTGTGACTTATTGGATGTCACTGGTAAAAGGGAAAAGTTAAATCCCAGGGGAAAAAATATTGGACAGAAAAAAAATTCCCAGAGAAATTTGAGTCTGAAACCTGCATTTATAGGCCTCACCATTGTCTTAAATTTTGGATAGTTTTACTAACTTATTTTAATAAAGTGAAGGGAGAAAGAGTAATATGAACTAAGTAGAAGATATGTGAACTATTTTCTGATTAAAAGATTTTAAAGGTGAAAAGGGGGAGGGGGAGGAGCATTAGCCAGTAATTGGTTAATGGGCACAAAGAATAATTACATTTTGTAATGATAAATATGCTAATTATTCTGATTTGATCATCACATATTGTATACAAGTATTGATAGTCAACTCTGTATCCCACGAATATGTATAATCAATTACACTTCAATAAATTTTTTTTTTTTAAATCAAAGGTTTTAAACAAATTTGGGACTCTAAAAAAAAAAAAAATAGAATGAGTGGAAATTCCCTCCTAAAGCAAATCACAAATCTCCATTTACATTTTTTTTTTAAATCAAAGGTTTTAAACAAATTTGGGACTCTAAAAAAAAAAAAATAGAATGAGTGGAAATTCCCTCCTAAAGCAAATCACAAATCTCCATTTATCTAAGGCTAAAATAATTTCAAAATTATTTTAAAAAAAGAAAGATGATCAATGGATAACGCGTCTGACTAGGGATCAGAAAAAGAAAGATGATCTTTTTGGTAATATAATAACCAGTTTGGTAGTATAGATACTCAGTTTTAATAGATTGCTTTTTATCAGTCCTTAACATCATACAGTGAGAATATTTAAAGACAAGTAGAACAAGTTTAAGTACATTTCTTTAATAGATTGTATCAGCAGATTTGAAAACAACGTCAATATACTCGCCAGGTTCTTGGTAAAACTTTTAAATCATTTCTAAAAAAATATTCAACATAAATTTACAGTTGAAAACAGTTGAATTTACAGTTGTTTCATGCAACGGACATTATAATTCCTAGGGTGTGATTTTTATACATGCCAAAGCCAGGTTAGGAAGTAATTGAAACTCCTGTATTTTTGTTTTCTTACAGCTGCTACATTTTCAAAAACCAAAGAGTCAGAGCTTTCTGCAGTTAGATGCAGCATATTTAAAGTTATGTTTGTTTAATAGAAGAACAGCAGTGGGACTACTTTTTCTTCCAAAAGTGATTTAAATAAGAACTAGATTGATGTAATAGGTTGAGGATAATACGCTCTTTTAAAAGTTCCATTTTTTCACTATAATAAAAAACACATTTAGGTAAAGAAAATTTGCAATATACTATCTCAATTACAAGTGAAGAAGTAGTTTGGTATATATTACTCTTAATAAATTTAGCTTTATATTTAATAAAAAGTTTATTTTCAGGTTTAATTGCTTGCTAAGAGAACATTAACAAGACAATTTGCTTATGGCATGTAACTGCTGAGCTTTATGTAAGTTAGTTTCACTAAGGGAAATACTATAACAGAAAAAACCTTTAGTGTACCTCCCTTTAAGAATCTGTATTCTCTGTAAAAGAAGAGAATTACTTGGGGTCATGGTCAGCTGGATGATATTATATTATGCTTACTCATATATTAACATATGTATATTATTTAAATATATAAGTACTTATTACAAATATGTTATTTTAAAATTTCTATATTTATTAATAATTAAATATATATACTATTTCAAATAAGCCTTGCAGCTTCTACATTTTCAGAAACCAGAGTTTCTTCAGTTAGACGCAGCATATTTA